GAATGGTAATTTATAATCAGCCACAAGAACGTCGAATCTGAATCACTTGAAAAAAACACGGGGGTGCTTAACTTTTTTCCGGGTGTATATAACTAATGTTTGGAAGTATCCTATAGAACCTACTGACTCTCCTTTTTTATGCATCCTAACCTCTTCTAATCATGAATTATATAACTAATGTTTGGAAGTATCCTACAGAACCTACTGACTCTCCTTTTTTATGCATCCTAACCTCTTCTAATCATGAATTATATAACTAATGTTTGGAAGTATCCTACAGAACCTACTGACTCTCCTTTTTTATGTACCCTAACCTCTTCTAATCATGAATTATATAACTAATGTTTGGAAGTATCCTACAGAACCTACTGACTCTCCTTCCTTATGTACCCTAACCTCTTCTAATCATGAATTATATAACTAATGTTTGGAAGTATCCTACAGAACCTACTGACTCTCCTTTTTTATGCATCCTAGCTTCTTCTAATCATGAATCATACAACTATATTGGGTAATTTTGAAACAAAAACATTCTGCCTCTACTTCCTGGTACAAACATTCTGCCTCTACTTCTTGTACAAACATTATCATGGTCAAATGAACCATATTTACCTGTTTATTGTTTTAAATTCTATGCATTTTTTAATAATTATTAAAGAAAATGAAATAAAAAAATGTGTATATTTATGTTGAAGTACTCAAAAATAACCCCAAAATTTAAGAAGGTATGGAAGAAACCTTTTTTCTCCATATAATGTTGATAGATGTTGAGTTTTTGCTGTGTAAAATGTGTATTTGTAATTTTTCATTCTAGTTGCTAATATTTTAGAATTATGAAAATTATTATCAATTACAAAATTTAACTTAACTTTAAAAGAAATTTGTTTAATTTTTAATAAGATTTTTACTAAATTAATTTAGTTTCTTTTACTAACTATAAGTTACTTTTTGTTCTCGTAGTTTAACTGCACTGCTTCCTGTCCACCTGAGAAACCATTCAAGATTTTTGATGATAATATGGAAGATCCTTACTGCTCCTCAGATGACCCAGCAGCTGTAGGAGTACATGGAGTGTAAGAATAGTTTAATAAATATCTTTGTTTAAATACATTGTTTAGACAATAATTTTATACTCAAGCTTTCAGACCATTTGTTTCAACAGTTTTTGGATTAATAGATGAAGCTCATCAGGGTAATATGTGAGTAACTGAGGTAAATTCTGAGTTATAAAGTTTAACCCTGTGTGCATGGGTAAGGGTCGTAGTGTGCATGCCATGACATTTTACAGAGTTCCATTCAACATGATATTATGTATTTGTTGTTGGAGTTATCAACTATTTATTTCACCCTATATGGCTGATTGAATGACTGTTCATGGTAGAGGACGGTAAATAGCAAATACAGTATACAGGGATACTGAAAAAACAACAAGCTTGAGTTAGATTGATGTGGTCAGTCCACAGACACATCTTGAATACAAATAATTTTGTAAGACATCTGATTCTTTGTGTACATCAAACTTGTACATTTTACTAAAAGCTTGCCATATTTCATGTACATACATTTAGTAAATTTGGAAACATAGTTAACAACATGGCTTCTCCAATGTTGAATCTGTTCCATGCGTATTTAGTTAATCACTTTGCATCAGTTGATAATTCAAGGAAAAGTGTTTAACTCTCAGAATCTTATTTTCAATATATCTTACAGAGAAGAAAACCAAATAGGAGCAATACTTGGTGGTTCTATTGGCTGTGTTGTGCTACTGGGGATTTTTGTTGCGTTGGTCAGCTACCATTGGTTACAGCGAGCACGTACCAAGGAGAACACAGTTAAAATGACTATGGTATGAATATTTCTTTTCATATGAACTTGTAAGTTTGATTTCTTCAGATTAAAGACTACTTTAATTCCATGTTGCTTGCATTTTAACAGTTAAATGCATCATTGAGTTTTAATGAATTTATGCTAAGAAACATCACAGGTGAAGTTGAGTCTTTCTTGTGTACTTGTATTGCAGATATTTTATCCTAAAATGTGAGTTTTTGTTTTCGTTGTTTTACAGCGAATGAGCGGATTTGAAGACAACGAACCTCTGAAGCTTTCAAACATTAAACCAAATCTTGCCAAGCTGAGGATAGTGAAGGAAGCTGAACTAAGAAAAGGAGGGATTTTAGGATATGGGGCATTTGGAACAGTATACAAGGTACAATTCTTTTTGTACAACGTATCTGTAGAGCTGATCTTTTCTTGAAGGAACTTGATTATTTAGAAACATTAAAGACTTTCATGTTGTGATTATCTATATTTCTTCATAACAATGCTATTTAAGACATTACTGGAGAGGAGATCAAATTCTTAGTGGTCCAACCACCACTAGATCTGGGGAAACTCTTGAATTTTTATAAAGTGAAAATGTAATACTATGTGGTCTGGATTATAATGTATTTTTATAGCAGTCCCAGTAAAAGTGCAAACTGCTTCTTTATTTTCATGTTCTTTATTGTCACACATACACTTGGTTTCCCTGGTTCTTTAAAGTTTTAAGAATAGAATGAGAGAAAGTGAATCTTCACATGAAACTTAAAAGTTTTTAAAATTTACTAAAACACGTTTGCCAAAAAAAAATTAATTTTTAAACTTATTACTTTCTAACAAAATTTATTTTTCCCAGGGTGTTTGGGTTCCAGAAGGAGAAAATGTTAAGATTCCTGTGGCCATCAAAGTTTTGAGGGAAGGAACTGGACCATCAACAAACAAGGAATTTCTAGAGGTAAACATTGTTTTAGTTTGTAAAATATTTATTTGTTAAACTTGTCGGTTTTGTTTCTTACAATTGAAATTATAGAACTAAAGGCAAGACTTGTAGACCTCTGACAACATTATAGGTGTGTTCTTAAAAGCAGAAATCTTCTATGCTTGGAATATTGATATTTTTTTTCTTGAAATGAGTTTTCACGACTAATGTTAAGCCTTTGCTGATTTTTTTTCTAATTAAAATAAAAACCTAGTATTTTAACCCTCTCACTATGAGCATCCTTTTGTTTGCATGTCATGAGATTTTAGTGAGTTGCATTCAAAATTTAATTAAACTACTTTCTTATCAAGATGGTATACCAATAAATATGGCACAAAAACATAGTTGTTATCCATATTTTAATAGATTATAATTTTTGCTTCTTAATTTTATAAGGCAATATTTTAAAAAATCCTGAATTTCTCCTAGTATGAGAATTGTGACATTTTCCTCTAGGAAACTCTTCTTCTCTAATTTATTTACCACCCCTTCAAGAAGCATGAAATTTCAAGTAAATAACTCATTATAATGTTGTCATCATTCAGGCAAAGCATAATTTTTATAGTTTTCAATCTTATTTGGTTATGGAGCCATCAAATAGAAAATCAGACCCTTCTTGCCATGCCCATCTATCACATCATCTCTTTCAGAAATTGCCAATAGTAAACCAAGGTTTTACTTTACCAAATAATATTTTATAGAATATTTTTTGTCCTGAAAATTGTCAGTTTCACTTCCAGTTGAAGCTTTATTCTGTTGAGAAACACATCGATGAGTTTAGCTGAATTTCTAATGGTTTTTGGTCACATAGCTAGAAAGCCAGAAAAAATTGTGATAGTTATGGGACATATTCTGCTTTTTGTATGTTATTATTCTGTGTTCTTTGGAGCATTTCTTCATCAAATAAAAATAATAATTTTAGTGCAGTGGTATCATTAGTATTTAAAAAACAAAGACCCGGTTAAGTACTTATTTCTTGTTTTTGATGTGTATTCTTTATTTATTATTATAAAAGTAACTAAAATGTGAAAATTGGAAACTTTTTAGGGTAATTATGGTTAGATTAGGTAAAAATAATAATAAAATTTTTCACAAGATATGCTCACGAGCAGCTCCTGTGTAATGTAATTTAATAACATAATGCAAACTGCATACTTGCCAAGTGATTAATAACTTATAATGGTGCAAAGGGCAGTAAAACTTGGGCATAAATACATGTATACTGTTGTGAGTGTAAAGTTATTTAAGAGAAACATGTAGGTTCATGTAAAAATTGAAATTATTCTAGAAAAAAAAAGGTTAATTTTTGTTTTTTGTGATTATAAGGTTGGTCAAATTGACCAACCTTGTATAGAGTTAAAGTAGAAAAAATATCAGAATATAAAGTTTTACTGAAAGAAAACATTTTAAATTTATTTAGGATGTTTTAAGAGATTACACAAATGAAATTAAAAATCTTTGAGATGAAGAAAAATATTTTTAATCTTAATGTGGAAATCACTTTGCACTTGGACTAGTAAAAAAATATAATCTTTATTAAAAATACTTCATTAAAAAATTTTTGTATACAAAAGACTTGTAATGCTTATTTAAAGTCTGCCAAATTTTGTGAAAATACACATACTGTAATAAAAGTTGTAGTATGGAGACTATAAAGAGTACAAAATGGTTCTGAGATTAGTCAAATAGACTGACCTCGTTGTGAGGGATTTAATTGAATTAGTCTTGTATTGCAACATTTCTTAATTTTAGTGTTGTTTTCTCTCTAGGAAGATGGCATTATCCTGTTTGATATCAATTTAAGTTGTGATTGGTTACATTTCTATATAATATTAAGTACTGTTCATCTTGCAACAGATGTAATAAAACTGATTTTCTCTCCACTCCAGGAAGCATATATCATGGCTAGTGTTGATCATCCCAATCTGTTGAAGTTACTTGCTGTTTGCATGACATCACAGTTGATGCTGGTAACACAGCTAATGCCACTTGGTTGTCTTCTAGATTATGTGAGAAACAATAAGGATAAGATTGGTTCCAAGCCACTCCTAAACTGGTGTACACAGATTGCTCGAGTAAGTCACTGAAATAGATTTGTATTTTATAATTAGTAGAGCATGGTTAGTGAGCACCCCAGTGGCTTGATGTAAGTCTGTAGGTTTACAATGCTAAAAACCAGGTTTCGATACCAGTGATACGTATAGCACAGATAGATCATTATGTGGCTTTCTACTTAAAGTATGGTTAGCATTAAGAAACCTAAATTTATATATTTGTGAAGAACTTGGAATGATCCTGTGTTTGGTGTTGCTGTATTTACGATAATAATAAAACAGTACAAGTAGTTTACTGTGATACAATTTTGGGTGCAACTGTATAATGTCTATCCATTTTGCTGAAACAAAAGTGGAAAAGTATTTCAATAATCCAGCTAGGCCTGTTGATATTGTTTAATGTATTGTATTATGGTTTAGAAATTGTTTTTTGAATCTATTTCTTAACATTCTGTTGAAGCCTAATCTATTATCCAGCTAAGCCTATCATTGTAATTGTCAATTTGCATTTTGAGATTCAACAGATGATTATAATGTACAATAAGCAGGTTTCTTCAGGATTGTATCAATGGTATAGATGTTGTACGATTTCAGTGTGACACAGCTGGAAGGCAGTGTTTTCTGTCTACAGAGTACACCTCTCAGTGGTTTATCTTGGATATCCATGGTGGGCAGAGTATAGATAGCCTATAGTGTAGCTTTGTTCTTACCAACAAGAAACAAACAAGCCTACTGAGTACTAATAAAACAGATGTATTCACCCGAAATTAATATATTAACATGTGAGGAAATCTGTAATGATGTTAACTTATTTATATTGACACTAATTTGAAATAGAAAGTTTGATAATGCTTCTTTTCGTCTCTATCTAAGTAGATGATTTTTTTGTAAATATTCTTTTCTTCTTTGCTGTTGCGATACCTCCTCTTATATAGTCCAGTAATAAAGTTTAAACTATAAGGCCACATGTCATACTTTGGTGACATTTTTCTAAAATGTTAAAAAATATTTTATGGTATACTGTGAATAATTATTAGTTATTTTTGCTGTTGTTTTTGTAAAAAGTCCTTTACGTTGGCTGCGATTGAGGTTTTTATAATTTTTTGTGTTCATAGGCTATGGCGTACCTGGAAGAGAAGAGGATGGTTCATCGTGATCTTGCACTCAGGAATGTCTTGCGTACGTATTGTATGTTTTAAGTATAGTATTCAGGTGTTGGTATGTTACAGGAAATAATATCCTATCAAAAATGAATCAATTTCTTTATAATCTTTATACATTTTGCAATTTATACATGACTTTCGAGAGCAAGTGCTTACTGTAGACATGGCAACCACTTGCTTATCCACCTGAAAAAATGTATTGTAAAATAAAAATTGAAATACGTATTATGAAATTTTTAATACTTGTTTTAGTATACCAAATATGAAAAATATTTGTTATGATTGTTTTAAAAAAAAACATGTACAGGACTGGAAATAATTATGAAAACAGTAAGGAAAAAAAAAGGGTATCAAAGGTAATTATTACACGTACCACCCCTTTTTTATGTGAAAATAAATTGCACCAAAGTACAGCCAAATGTTAGTAGTTTACACTGTGATTGGGTGACATCCAACCAATCGGAAAGTGCCTAACGAGTATAAAACCTATAAAAGTACAGGCAGTCATACTAGGGCACAGTAGTAGTATTGTGAATTCAGTCATGGCTTCCAAGATGAAAATACTGTATGATGCGTATGAGAATTAAATTATTGGCTGGTAGAGGGTATTTCACATAAATTTGCAGCTAGACTCCATGTTTCAGTAAGAGCTGTATTCAAGAGGGTATGTGAAGCTGACACTGTTAATAACAGAAGTGGTTGAGGTAGAAAACCAAAACTCTCCTAAAGTAACGTTATTATTACAGGGGGTGGTTTTCAAGAGATAGATGACAGTCCAGTTCAGATCTTGTCAATGACCCTGTTATAAATACTGGTGTGAAAACTCCCCCAAGAACAAAAAGATTCACATTGGTATGAAATGGATGTGTAGCTTCTTAAATCCCACTGCTGAGAAGAGACAAAACCACATTTTTGAAATGTGAATTAGCAAAGCTGGAGATTAGTGCTCTTTACCTGTTAATCCTAATTCAGATTGGTAGCTTGTTTGAGACAGAAAACAGTGGTATCGTAGTCAATGTAGAGTATCTACAGTGAAGCTTAGGGGGAGGATAAGTAGATGTGGGGCTACACATCAACCAGTGGTGATAGTGATCCACAAAGAATTTATGGCACCTTGAATTCTGATGATTACAGTCAGATTCTGATCAATAATCTCAGAAACATGACTCACTGAGCAGGAATTCAGCAAGATAGTGATCCCAAACATAAAGCAAACTAGGTGAAATGATATTTTGATTATAAGGAGGTCAATGGAACACGCACAAGTATGGTTTGACCTGCACACAGTCCAGATATGAATATTCTTAACTGTATAGGCTTATATAAAAACATAAAAGGTCAAAAGGGAATCGGACAACTTCTTTGAATTGTGGGGAGTAATGCAAGAAGTTGGAAATAATATTTCATAATCGTACATTGATACACTGTATGTCATCATTAAAAACATGGTATGATGTTCTGTTTAAAGCAAAAAGAATCGCATATAAGATATACACAAGTTCATTATACAAGATATTAATTTTTTTTTATATTTTCTGCACATTGTTTGTACCATTAGTGAATTCACCATCTTGTTGTCTTTACTCATTATTTATGACTTCTGTATGTGTATCGATTGTGTGGTTCTATAATTTCAATATCCGAAATATGTCAATGTGACAACATTCCAGCATTAACATAACTTTACCTTATTCACTTTGAAGTATTTTGCGATAAATTATTTTCCAACCTTTTTTTTTCTATAGACTTGATTCTAATTTTTGTAAATTTATCTTGGACCTGCATAATAACAGACTATGTTTTGAGTTATTATGATATAGTAGTCTGAACACTACCTTGACAGTATTGTTTCTAACAGGGTTATCAAACTTGGATGTGAACCTTTTTATTTCAGTCCAAAGTGTTAAAGGTATTGGTAGCTAGTAAGTTCCAAAACCGAAAAAAAAAAATTATAACAGATTTTATAAATACAAGTAAGAAAGCATGATGTATTTTTTTGTTATTAACTTGTTTGCTTTTACATTAAAGATAAATATTCAACATCATAACAAAATTGTTCTCCTCTAGTGCAAACTCCAGGCTGTGTTAAAATAACAGACTTCGGATTGGCAAAACTATTGGATATTAATGAAGAAGAATACAAAGCTGCAGGAGGGAAAGTATGTGAATCAAATTCATGAAAATTATTTGTTGAAATATACTTGGCAGTAATAAAGTTGGAGTACCATTTTTTTTAGTGCAAATTAAAGCTGATGTAAATATTCATTGATAACTTTTGACCAAAGTAAACTAACTATATAGATCAGAATTAAAAAAATAAAAGTAAATATCGTAAGTCAATACGCAATCAAACATTGAAACATAAATTTGTTACTTTTGCTACTAGTGACACTTTCAACTAGATGAGGTCTGACCAGTTTAGGAGATTCCTAAATCAATATACTAAGTTGATTATGCAAAATAATCTTTATAAGTGAGAAAAATAATAATCGTTAATACAAATTTTAATCATTATAACTGGTAATATTAATGAGGCTCATGTTAAAGAAAAATAGACCATGTCAGTACTTACTTAAAATTATTTTGAGAATTTTTTATTTTTTTTATATTAATCATCATTTTAACATTATTTACTGTGTATTTAAATTTTTTATATGTCTTGAGATATAGTTAGTTCTTTTAACATTTTTAATCTTTTTATTAATTTGTTTTGACTTTTGTAATGATTTTCAATAATTTATTTGTCTTTCTAATCACTTGCATTTATTTGTCTTAGTATGATCAGTCATTTTTAAAACCTTTACCTTGATATTTATTGTTTTTGTTTCATCTGTTTTAATTCTTTATCCTGATACTTGGTATGTTTTTTATTATTTTTGTAATCTATTTGTCTTGACATCTGTCATTTTTTTTGCTGTTCATTATCATCTTGGTTACTGTAGTTTATTTGATCTTTGTTGATCTTTTCAGATGCCCATAAAGTGGCTAGCTTTAGAATGTATCCAGCACAGAATATTTACCCACAAAAGTGATGTCTGGGCATTTGGTAAGCATTACTACCATTGATTTTTAAACTTAATTCATGTAACTGTGACTAACTTAGTTTTGGTTTTAAGGTAAAAAAAAAAAAAAAGTAATCTTTTATAGGTTGTAGAATATTTAGACACCTAATAACTTTAGAGGGGTGTTAAAACTTTTAAAACTTCGCAACATACTTAAAATACATATAATGGAGTAAATTAAACAGGTAATGTTGTAGGCCTAAATATATACAGGTAAAATAATGGAGAAAATTTAAAATGGTAATATAGTAGGCCTAGGTATATACAGTTCATATAATGGACAGGTTTCAATTCACGTGGTCATTTTTCTAACCATTTGCGTTAATGATAGCATGAAAACTAAACCATTTCCTCATTTATGACCAGATAAATGGGATCTCCACTGGGTTCAACGATAGCCAATAGTTTTATATGCTCTCATATACTGAAGTAAGTTAAATTGGTAATGTATTAGGCCTAGATATATAGAGCTTTTTTATATGCTTATATAGTGTATACATTGAATATATCTGTTATAATTATTGTTTTATTTTATAATTAGCTGAAGTACCCGTCCCCTGGACGGAAGTTATTTAAATTCATAATTAATGAAAGGTTATCTTGGAACATGAAAAGCTGCTTCCCTTATATGTCATTGTAAAAAAAAAACGCTCATAAAAAATGCAAACCGGAACTTTGCATGTATCTCTGCATGGACCCAACAAACCTTCATGCTAAATTTGGTGAAGGTCCATCAGAAGAGGCGAAGTAGTGGTAAAAAAACGCTCATAAAAACTGCAAAACACAATATACAAAACTGAAAATTTGTATGTGCCCCCGCATGGACCTAATGAACCTCCATACCAATTTTGATGAAGACTGATCCGCACTCTGCGAAGTAGCTACATGGACATACAACAGACAACAGGCAGTACTATTATATTTATATAGATAAACACATGGTGTCTAAATGTTCTACTTCGTCATTTTTTAAGTGTTCCAAAATCCGACATTACTTTCTTGACGACCTAATAGAATTTTCAATAGTAGCTCTAGTTAATATTTAAAAACAACTGCTAGTAAACATTTCAAATACACTAATGTTGTATATAACAATCGTTAACAGTAATTCTAGTCTATACTCAGTAACATTAGCTTTAGCGAACATTCAATAACAATGTGATTTTGAAAAATCAGTGACATTATATTTGTGATTAACAACCATTGAAGTAAATCTGTAACAACCATTGAAGTAAATCGAATGTTTATTCAATGATATTTTAGTGAATATCCAACAGTTATAGTGATTAGCAAACGTTGACAGTAGTTTTAATGTCCTTTCAGTGGTATTTGCCTTACTGAACAATTCATAACAATATTGTTATGATTATCCTATTGTTGACAGTATTTTTGTGACAGAAATCAGTGGTATTATTTATGGTGAACGTTCAATGACAGAAATGTTGCGTAATGAGAACAATAGTTCTGGTGCATATTCAACTGCCAGTAGCTTTAATAAACATTGAAGAACAATACTGCTAGTGAACAATTAATGAATGCATTATTACTATAAACAACTGTTGAACAATTGTGATGAATATTCTGACAATAGCTATAGTGAAAATGTTAGCAACTATAGCAATTCCTACAGTGAATAGTATATGGTAAAAAGTTCTGGTTAACGTAGTTATTGTGAACAACTCGTGACACGTTTTCTTCTGATGAACATTTAATAATCATATTGTCACAGAGAATAATCTTTGACAGTATTATTTTGCTAAGTTATTTGTGACCGTAGATTGGTTTACTTAATCAAATTTATATAAACAAATATCCAGCGGTAACATTATTTGATGGTGCTTCGAAAAAGTTTAGAATGATTTTTATGGTAATAAGTGCTTTTGTCAAATAACCGATCAGTTAGGCCGAACAATATCCAATAATACAATTCTGTAGAGCACTGAGTTATCAGTTCTATTCTCATGAGTTTTACATGATAGTACAGTTGCAGCATGTGGTACAGAACCAAAACCAGATTCGTGACTTTAGTTTCCAACGCCCGTTATCCTTGTAATGCAAGAAATACGACATACTGACTATAACTGACTGTATGAGTGTTTCATGTTATGACGTGTTAGATGTGGCATAGTGATGAAGCTGTTGTTAAGGTAGTAACGTAGGATGTAAATACTGTTTTATTCTTAAAACGTGAGGTAAAAGTTTGAGTAAATTATATGGAGTTTTCATTAGCATCGTCTTCAAAATGTATTCGTTAAATAATGAACAGTTAGGAAGTTTTAAAACAGCCTCCAAATAAACCTTTCACAAAACACGTATATTTAGTATTTATAAGTAATATATATTTTTCAAACTACCTTACACCTTATAAGATACTTATGTGAAGCCAAGATACCAATATATATCGTCTCCTTATAATTTTGGATCTGTGACTGCCTAACTTGCGCTGCCTGTTCAACCTTCAACGAATCAGAACATTATGATAAACAGAATAGGTTAAAAAAGAGGCGTACTCATACATTTTTTTACTTCTATGAAGTTGTTTTATGAGAGTTTGAGTTTAAAGAAAACTATAAAAACATCAAGGTTTAATTTGTTTTCTCTAAAAAGTGATAGGTTGAAAGGCAACCACGAACAAATCGACCACTAGAGGGCACTAATATATCTCAGGTGACGACTAGCTCTAAAGTCCAATTGATGAACATGTACCCTGAAAACTCCCACATACCCTTCCGACATGCAATTGCTATAGTTACGACCACCCTGTTATTTTGGGGCTCTTAGAGTTGTAATCTGTCTGCTTTCAGAATTGTTTCTACTCCAGTTCCAGATTTATGTTCTGAGACATTCTGAACGCTATGACGTGTTTCCTGAGCTTAAATTTCCGTTTTCCTTTTCTATAATGGGTGATGCTTCAATTTAAGTGTTTTCTGTTGTTTGTGTTCCAACTTTGAAAGCTTGCTACAAGAAATGATGATAAATCTGTATGTAATATAGTTGTGTAGAAGTGTATGTGGATTATGTGCAAGTTTTGGTTTCCGAAAGCAGCTTGATATAGCCCGTGAATCATATTAAGAACATCTCAAGTGTTTTAATAACAGTGGTGCTGTAAGTGTATCAACGTGTTTTATTCGCCGCATTAATTATTACAACATATACAATGAATAATTTAATGTTTTTTTATTATTTAAATGTTCTCTATCAGCCGTCTTTCTTGGCTCTGACACGTGTCTTACTCTCTTTTTCTTAATCTCGTGACCAGCCTACTTATACTTATTTCCCTCAATCTTTTCATCTGTGTATTTTACAGCCTACCTGTTGATCAAGACACTTACCTGTATGACGCCATCTATATTGAACAAGCCCGCTAAAAAAAGAATGCATCAACTGACTTTGCTTAACTAGATATTAGGATCATGGAGGAGCTCCAGCAAAGCCATTTATTGTTTTCTGAGAATCTGTAATTGTTAATCCACATTCAATGTAGAAATATGACACTGTATTTACGATTGGTTCCTTTAAAAATGCGTGCTCAGAAATAAAACCATACTTTGTGTTAGTTAGGCTGAGGCTGGTACGAAGTGCTAATATTTGAGTTGTATTCCTGTAAGTATAAACTGTTTATGTAGACAGCATCGACACGCACGTACGCAGGGGGGTGTGTGTTCAAGGGGGTTCATCCGAACCCATAATTTTTATGATAACAAATATGCTTATACGGTTATAGCGCAGCTGCTTATGGTATTTAAGATTCTCTACATAGTCTACATTCTTCTGGTGAAGAAGCATTAGCATGTTGTAGCTTGAAATAGTCGCATGTCCTCAGACCCTCGTTGCATTAGCATCCTGATTGTGCTTAGCACAATATGTGTTGAGTTTGATCTCACAAATTAGAATCTCCCTTTCAAACGTTCTGCCTACAGGCCTGATCAAGAAACAATTTCCCTCCTAATATCTATAGCCTAAACGTGGAAAATTAGTTAAATAATTATAAGAATGATATGGAAGTTTTAAATACAACTTTCTTAAGCTCTTTTTTAAAGTTTTACTGAGTAGTCCTGGGGGTTTATTCTCACAGAATTCATAATTTTAGAATGTAGATAATTCAGCTTGTTTTAACATTTTTGAGGGTGAGAGTATTGTTGTATCCTCAAGAAAAAGAATACAGATTTACAAAACTATAAATTTAGGTCACGAAAAACAAAAAGAATAAAGGAAGCCTTGTAGAAGGGTAAAAATATGTATGGTATTCATGACACCAGACACCGGAAGTAATCTTTTCAAATAAGAAGTTGCCCTGTTGAGCCAGAAATGTACAGGCACCCTAAAAAATTGTTTATAGGCTCTTAACTTGTATTTGATATGTAATATGCATGCGTATTTCTGTGGCTTGTTTGTAAAATGTACTCTAGTGTGTGTAGAAAAAGGAAATAGCTCTTTAAAGAAAGCTTTATCTCTGGTGGGTGGGGGAAAATTAGGTAGTTATTTATTTTGTATGTGTATCATATACTTTTAACATACATTTTTACTTGTACGGGTGCGATGACCCTACGGTTTTATGCTCTGTTGTAATACGTCTACTTTGTAAACACTATTCGGGTTCTCAGCTGGTAACGTTTTCTATCGGGGATGGCTACTAATTAAATAAAAATACTAATTTAGATGCAGATCTGATATTGTGTCACTAATGCATATATATATATATATATACTGCAATCATTATGCGTGTATGCATACCAGTAAGAAACTGCATAGAAATATTTCAAAAACCGCCGAGCGCTGTCTCTAAACAGAAAACGTAAACTTCATAAATTTATGAGCTTTATCAAGCAGTAAATGTAAAAAACACATTTATGACTTTAATTATGGTTAGTGAAAATGGGCACTTCTAAAGCTCGTTTACATTACTAATACGCATAAAACATATTTCATAAACTTATTATAATTATCAGTGATGATACAGATTTTAAAAATATATTGTAATTACAGATGGTTTAGTACGTTATATTACAACGAATTTGGAACTTTGCCATGTCGTCACATCTATTTTCAAAATAACCATGCAACATAACTTCAATTGCAAAAGACTCATGTCTAAGCCACGCCATTCCTTCCTGCACGCTTTCCATAATCCATCTATTGTACGGAGACGATGATTTCTCAACGCTCGTTTCAGCAGTCCTATCGCACAAAAATGTATAGGCACTGCGATGGTGACTTAACTGGTATGTCTTCATATGGAATAGCGTGAATACCCGTTTCTCCAGGTATGCAACGGTGAACGGATATAGTTTAAATAATTATGTGAACAGACTACAAGTAGCTACTGTTCAGGAATATATGGGTGGGAATATGTTATGGTTAATGTTCCGGGTTATAGAATATCCAAAGTTCGATCCATAATATGCCATAGGACATATACTGCACCTATAGTTGTAGGGGCTTTATTATATTAGAGACAATCCCGCTATTCTGTTATGAGTAACTGTGTAACGGGTACTGCTAACTGATCAGCAGGTGTAAATCAGAAATGGCTATGATGGAACACAGGCCATTTAGCCCATGTTTTGCATAAGGTGTCTTTCAGGTTGAAATACTAAATAGTAAGATCGAAAAACAAAGCAGAAGTAAGATATTCATTAAATAAAAATAAAAAACATACTTAAAAAAAAACTACACAAAACGAATATCTATATCACCCCTGATGTTTCCTATACTAATGCTCACGCTTACAAAACAAAACAGAAAGCCCAAAATATTTTCAACAATATAACTGGTTTTAATCTTAAGTTTGGTATAAAAAACTCTCTGGAGCTCGTAGAAAAAATGTAGAGATACTAAATAACGCCAAAATTGTTTCTTTTGGTGTTCGTAGTCTGTTCATCAGTATACGTGTTAGTGAATGTAAACAAATTGTTAGTGATGTATTGGATATAAAAATATACCCTGTTCGAGCCCAGGAATTAACAACAATTCTTCTTAATTATTTATACCTGTTATTTTATTTTAATTAAGATTTTAAAAAACACTACACTTATAAGGTACTTTAGCTCCAAACATCACCATGGAATTTATATTTTTCATTTTTTTTAAACCTTACAGAAGAGTTAGACAATATCCATATCCAGAAAGAAATCTGTAAGTTATTTATAATACCACCAAAGTACACGAAAGAACATTATTAAGTGATATTATTCGAGTATCATATGGGAATGCTAGATTGTTCCAAGTATTATTTCAGGTTTGGACAAATTTCTGACAAAATCTACAGTTTAGATAATGAAAATCACGTGTACACATCATATTATTTGAAAATATAACTTCTCATATAAGAACTGTAGTTGTGAAGAGCAAATTATAGGAGTCCTTCTGTTTAGAAATCAAGGAAAGATGCTCTTTAAAGGTAAGGGAAGAAAAACTGTATATTGTTCAGAAACTAATTGTGACTGTAATAACTTTCTTATTAAAACATGTGTGTTTAGATTAAACACTTGATGAAATCTTTCTTTCTACAAGAAGAGAGTTTGTTGTTAAACACGAAGCTACACAATGGGCTACCTGTGTTGTGCCTACTATCGAAAAAACCCGGTTTTTAGCGTTATAAGCCTTCAGACTTACCGCCGAGCCACGGTGAGGCACAAGACGAGAGGGAAGTAGAATAAAAATTTAGTGTTTCCTTCTTTGTTGAATCTGCTGAAAGAAACAATGTACAAGTATGACAAAAAAAAAACAACAGGAAACATGTTTATTTTATTCACAGCTTTGATAATGAAATAAACTAAACTTTGTAGCAATTATACTTAACTAAATAACAAGTATATATACGGTTAACTTTAGTTGTTTTGAAACGTCTTTCATAAGGAAAATAGCTAAAATACTGTTTTTAACAAACTGAAACTTGTAAGAAATAATACTTGTATATTGTTTAATTCTTATTGAAAACTTTGTGGTTGTTATTCAATAATTCTACTACAAGAATGCATTTTTGAACGAGATTGATTATGAATCTAAGTTTCAATGGACAGCAACTGCCTTTCGTCTTCAGGCGGAAGACTTTCGAAACGTCGTCCTCTACATTTGTAGGTTTCTACAACAGGCAGTTGCTGTCCATTGAAACTTAGATTCATTATGAATACTCTGCCTAAACTTCCTCATTTTTTTTAGGTGTCTAATTGTCCAGTTACCACTATCGATCTAGCAGTGTTAATGACGGCTGATGTTTCTCAAAACTGCACTATACAGTTGGCAATGTTGTGTTATTTAATGTGAAGTAGTACTTTTCATGGTCAGTTAATGTTCATCAAGTTTCTATAAATGTACGTTTACGCAATCAAAACTAAAAATCATTTGACCCAACTTGAAACCCTATTTTCGCTTCACAAAGCATCTAACAAAACATTTTGCAGGTCGATATTTCAACATCTCGTGTCATATCACAGAATCCTCATAAACACATACACTGATTTGTTTGTAGTTAAGAACAAAGCTGCACAATGGGCTATCTGCCCACCACGGGTATCGAAACCAGGTTTCTAGCGTTGTAAGTCCGTAGACATACCACTGTGCCGCCTTGACAACAATGAAGCAAACCAATCTTTATTTTGAAAAAGCCATAAAGAACTGAATGAGGAATGTAATGTTATAAAATATAATAGGTTTGATACTAATGTTTCATCATAATCAACTTTAAAATTAAGTATATTTTCAATAATATTTAGTGTTTGGTTGGTTGTTTGTAGTTAAGCACAAAGCTACACAGAGGGCTATCTGTGATCTGCCCACCACGGGTATCGAAACCCTGTTTCTAACGTTGTAAGTTCACAGACTTTCCACT